ATTATATTTTTTGTAGTCTCCTGGTAATGGAGAGCTTGTTTGTCTACAGAAAGAGAAGGGTTTATTTTGGAAAAGAGTTATGAAAAAAATCCTATCCAAAAGTTTGGAATTTTTTCCTGAAGTACAGAAATAATTCAAGATGGGAGCAATACATTTTTTCACTAGCAGAACTGTCTTTAGTCCAAAGTGTCAGATTCTTCATGCTTTTTCTTTTAAATGCTACTTTCTCTGTCTCTGTCTCTGTCTCACACACACACACACACACACACACACACACTGTCTCCAGGACCCCATAATTCATAATAATGTAAAGAAAGCAAATGAAATGTTCCTGGTATAGTGGAAAGAACACTAGTCCGGGGGCTGGGAGCCCTGCATTCTCACCCTGACCCTGTCACCAGTTAGCTATGTGATCTTGGGTAATTCATCAAACTGCTCTGAGCCTCAGTTTCCGTGACCCATAAAATAAGAATATGGAGCTGAATAATCTCTAAAGCTCTAAGGTTGCAAACCTCTAAGCTTGCATTTGAACAGCAGCAGAAGTGGATGGAAGCTTTTTTGGTAGAAATTATTCACAAACCAAACAAGATTCACCATTTGGTAGCTCCCCGAGGGAGGCAATTCTGCGTGGTCTTGGGGACAGATCAATGGACACAGTCTCTCCTGCCCAGAGTTCCCGTCAGTCTAGGTGACAGGAAGGTGAAAAGGTGCCAGTGGGCAGGCAGTCCACTCTTCAAAGGGAAGCAACAACCCCTTTGAGGACAGAAGGAAGATCTTTGCCCCCAGGTAGCCCTCCCTCTGCTGCTGTCCCCAGGGAGCCCAGCCCCAGAGCTCCCCGGTGGCCGAGTGCTGCCCTGGTGGTGATTACATGTGGCCCGAGCCATTCTGGCTCAGACTCTCTGCTGGTTTTGAAAGCCCAGCTGTCACCGCCACCCTCCTTTCCCATTTTGCTCTCCCATCACGCACTGGCTGCATGGGGCTGAGCTTTCCTGAGGTAAAGGATGAAAGCGGGCTGTGTCCTGCTGCACTGCGACTTTGTTGGAAGCATCTTCCCTGACCATCCTGACTGATATAGCTACATCACTTTCTACCCTCTAACCTGTTCTTTAGAATATGTATCGTCCTGGACATCCAATTATTGATTTATGTGTCTGTCATCTCCACTAGAGTGTAAATCCAGCAGGGTTTTGATCCCTGTTTTATCCTCAACCCATCAAGAAGAGCCTTGGAATGTAATGGACACATCATTAATATTTATGGAATTAATGAAATATATATTATAATAAATCCAGACCTATGATGCAGTTTTCTGACCAATCGATCTCCAAAAGCCCAATTCCCTTAGAAGAAATACAACTAATGTACATTCAACTAAGGTATCAGACTTTATTCAGTCCTTACTGTGATTTATGGCAAGGAGGTACTTTGGCCCCATTTTATAGATGAGAAAACTGAGACTCAGGGAGCTCAGTGTCTGGCTACAGGGCACACAGAAACTGAGCAGCAGAGCTGAGGATGAGCCCAGGTTTCCTGACTCCAAGTCCCCTGTTCATTTCCATATTTCATTCACCACATCTGCATCTTCTCGGATTGCTTCCCCACCTTTAACAGTACCACGTACATTAAATCAAACTTCCATTGATGAAATGAGTAGATTCAATTGAAGACTGCCTAGAACTAAGATGCAGTTTTTGAAACCAGGTCATTCTTAAATCAGCAACCAGCATCACGTGCTTTTCAACACTGATACTATCGCCGTGGAGAGCAGGGTGGGGCAGGGTGTTGTTTAATATTGTAGGTTAACTTATCTGTGGCAAAAGAAGAGTGGAACAGCTCCTGCAAATTCTGGTCCTCCCAATGTGATGCTCAGAGCCTTCCCAGGAGACATTCTTGGAAAGGAGTGGACAGCGTGATACAGAAGGACTTATTATAGCAAGGACGATGAGGCTGAGATTTTGTACTCACATGAAATTGTGCAAACTATGCACAAAATAAAAGCCTTCTGCAAAGAAACACAGACTTCTCTGGCAACCTGGACCAAATAGTTCCTCAGTGCTGAGACCCCGATGCATTTTGAAATACAAACATGCTTTGTATACAAGGAAGAAATATGCAGGTGCATGAAAATCACATCCCAGAATTAGTCAAAGATGATTTGTCAAGGCCATTCAAACTGGGAACACACATTCTGGGTTTGCGCCTACAAATTCAACATGGTATATAGTGTCTTCAGACCCCCTCTCAGTATATAACTGGATTTTGTGGGCATGCAGGTATATGTTCTTGCAAGAGCATATGAGCATGATATTTAGGAACTGAAAGGATTGGAAAGATATGACTGTAGAGGTAATTTGGCCCTGCTGTTTCATTTTTACAGAATGTGCATGGAGACCAGAAGTCCAGTGGCCTCTCCTCATCCACTGTTCTCTCCAAACACAGTGTTTGAACCATTGTGGGAGTGGGGTCTGGGAGCCCCAAGATCTGAAGGTCACACATGAACAGGAAACTGGCTTTCACACAATCTAAACACCGAACTATACACTAGAGACGCAGTCCTTCACAGCGCTGGGGACTGAAGGTGACAGCCTGAACAGCCTTGCTCTCATGGTGGGTCTCCTAGCCAGGTAACCCGGATCAGAGTCAAAAGTGCTCTGGGGGAGGGTCTGGATGGACTCACAGTCTCCCATCACCCACACAAGAAGGAAGACCATCACTCCCATCCCAGCACGGAGCGCCAGGGTCCTAGTCTAAGCCTGTTCTCATTGCCTGCCATGCCAATCCCTGTGTATGTATCTAGAGAGGTTAGCACATCCTGGGTACACAGACCACAGCTTCCTCCCTACCCTCGGGGCCTGTGCTAAGAGGTCTGAGCATTGGGGAGATATTGCTTCACTTCTCCTTAGGGTGTCCACATCGGGACCCTGGAGCCATCTTACCACCCTTCCGGGTCAGAGGGTGCCTTCTGGGTAAGTGGTAAGCCTCCGGACAAGGGGGAGCTTTCTAGAGGGGAGCATCTTATTACAAAACCAGGGCTATGAGACACTTGCATGCACATACCAACCTGAAGAGAAACAGGTATAAAATGATCAGTGACCCCCGCCCTATAGGAGTCCCCTTTCATGCACACACTTTAAACTTGAGGAACCCAGGCTCTCAGCGGCTCCCTTGACAATCAGTTGTCTCCTCTCCAGATTTTCAAGTTCCTGCTGTTGGTGCCTTTTACTTAAGTCAGCATATTTCAAACTTTAAGAAGAAAAAAAACCTTAGAAAATAAAAACCACCACCCCACCCAAATGATAAAAATCTCTTGAATTCTCCAAGCCTCACATCTTAGCCTCCTCTTACTCAGCCCTGAGCTAGGACTTGATTCCTCCAAGTTCTGGCGATGGCACGCTCTGCCAGTCCCCACCTCGGCAGCCTAATAGGTTTTCCAGATCAGCTCCGGCTCTGTGTCCTGGGACAGCCTCCAGCCAACCCCAGGTCCCATTCATTCTTCTCCGTCCTCTAAGGCCAGTCACATTAGGGGGTGTCCCTCATCTCTGCCTTTGGCCCCACTTCCCCCTTCCAGAGGGAGCAGGCAGTCAACCGTCTTGCAGTCTGACATAAAACCCAGACCCTCACCCGGCCCTCCGGGCTGCACTTTGCAGCCTGGACCCAGTCGCACGGTGTCGGGTGAGGGTAGGGGCCGCGGGGTAGGATTTGGTTGGGCAGTGGCCGGGACCGCGGGCTCAGAGCCTCTCGGTTTGGAAGCGGCTCTGAAGGCACGCAGGACCCTCTTTGCGAGGACGGTGGGAGCCCTGTCCCGGAGCCGGCGCAGCCCGGGCTCGGAGTGCGGGAGCCCGGCGCGGGGAGCGGCGCGCACCGGCCGGCACCCCGGCGGAGAAGCGGCGAGGCCGGCCCGTTAGCCCCAGGGCCCCGGCTACTCCCGAGCGCCGAGAACCCGGCAACAGAAGTACCAAGAGGAAGGGAAACCGGCCCGCGCTGACATGTAAACAGGGCTTCCATCTGGAGGAGCCCGCTCACACAGACCCCCAGACACACTCACTTGTACCCCGATCCGCCTGCAACCAGTCCGCTCACCCGCCCCTGGGCCCACCCGGCAGGGACCCGGGCTGCTGGCAGCTGTCCTCCCGCCCCCGCCGCCTTCGGCTTCGGGGAAGAGGAAGCCAGCGGCCGGGCCGGGGTGTCCCGCTCGCCGGGTGGGAGTGGTAGCCCGGGAGGTCTCCGGCCCCTGGCTGCGATCTGCGCCCCGGTCCCCGGGTTTCACGCCGCCGCCCCCGCCGCAGCCCGGCCGGCAGCGCGGTGGGAGGGGGCCGGGCTCCGCTTTGGGACAAGGGGTGCGGGGGAGATCGCCCTCGGCGGGGAGCCCCCGCCTGCCAGACTCGCCACCCGAACGCGGGAGGAGACGGCGCGAAGCCGGGGCGCGGAAGGAAGGGAGAGTGGCCACGTCTTCCGGGACCCCGGCGCCCCGCGCCCAGCCTGCCCGCCGCCTCGCCGCCCCGGAGGGCCCCGCCGCGCCGCGCCCACTGCTCCGTCGCTTACCTTAATAGTCCCGTCCATTTGGCCAAGTCTGCAGCCGAGCCCCCCAATATTCCACACATTGACCCGGTTACAGCCTGACCTCGCAGCCCCTTCGGATTAGCCCGGCGCGGCCTCTCTGGCGCCCTGGGCCCTCCCTGCGTGCCCCCCGCGAGCGCCCTGCCCTCGCTCCCCTGTGCACGTTTGTTGTTGTAGCGGAGCGAAAAAGAGACAGTTAACCGGATGAAACTTTTTTTTCAGCTAATTTTGGGAAGTGACTTCACTTTGCGAATGGGGAGGAAGTCCTATCTCTCTCTCTCTCTCTCTCTCTCTCTCTCTCTCTCTCCTCCTCTCTCTCTCTCTCTCTGTCTCTCTCTGTCTCCCGCTCTCCTCTCTCTTCTCTTCTCTCCCCTCTGCTCTCCCTCGTCTTCCCTCCCCCCACCCCACACTCTCTTCCTCCCCTCTGCTGGTCCTGCTTTTCGCATCACACACACTATATAAATATACGCGGAGATGCCCAGATACATTCATGCGCTGCGCACACAGGATACTTGCTCCCGGGAGATAAGAGCGAGCTGGGAACAATGCCGGGGTCCACGCCCGGCGCCCGCGCCCTGATTCCCGCAGTCTGCACGCCCCCCTCCCCACAAAGTCCGACACCAAACGCCTTCGGCCTCCTTCCTTTCCCCGGGGCCGTTGGCCGAAGGTGGCCCTCCTGACTCATTCACTTTCCGTTTCTTCCCACAGATACATTCATTAATGCTTTTCCCAGCCGGAGTCAAACTTTTTTTGGGGGGGGGGGTGGGATGGGAGAGTTTACTCGGGCTGGGGATAACGTGGAGCCTACAGCCCAGGAAGATCCGGATGCAGACAGAAGCAAACTAACCGCTAAAAAGTGCATCCAATGGGAACTTTTCCACTCGAGCCCTGGGCTGCAGAGTCGGGCAGACTCCCGGAGCGGCTCACCCGGCGACGCGGACTCGGGGCGGTTTCGGACCGACCCCTGCCGTCGGGGGCGTGGACTCCGCTCCCAGCGCGCTGTTAGCGGACGGACGGACGCTATCCGGGGGGCGCGCCTCAGCACCCGGCACCTGGGCTACCGGAGAGGTCCCGGCGCCCGCCGAGGGCCGGTTCCCGCGGCATCCCAGGTCGCCTATCCGAGCCTTCTGGGGTCAGACCCCTCGCGCTGACCCCGACCCGATGGCCCAAGCCCCAGCTCCCGGGCCAGAGACGCCAATGCAATGCCACCTTGGGCCCCAAGAAACTTACACTACGGCGAGACGATCCCTCCCAGCTGGCCGGCAGGTCTCCAGAACACTGCATGCAACAACCCTGAACAGACTCAGACCGCTCCCGGGTGAGACCTCCGGGACGGTGCTCCGGACCGTCATCCTCACCCCGCGGTGAGACCATCCTCCCCTCGGCCCGGCCCGCCTTGTCGGCCCCCGCCCCTCGGAGACCTCCCTGTCCCTCTGCAGTGCCGCCTGCTCCAGTTGGGGCAGCCTTGGGAGTCCCGGGGCTGCGAGGGGACCCCGGGGCGCTCTAGGCGTGACTCCCTTCTCCCCGACATCCGAAACAGGTTACCTTGTCCACGCTCTCCAGACCACGCTTTGGACTTTCTCACTTTTATTTAAGAGTCCACCAGGGGAAGGAGGGAGAAAAATCCAGAGGAGATCCGAGTCAATTGGAAAGAAAAAAATTTCAAAAGGGTGTCCACAGCGGCAAAAAAGGTGACATTAATTCTTTATTTCTTCAGGAGCAGTTGAGCCCGAGAGCTCGCTGGCCTCCCTCCCTCCCTCC